TTTCATCTCTTCATCTTTCAGTCTTATGTTTCTTTTATATGTAATGAGCAGATTTTTAACTGTATTTAAAGGGAGGAATAGAGGTAAGTGTGTTTACCCCATCTTACCTAGAACCAAAAAATTCATGATCATTTTTCAACTTAGAGACATTATCTGGTTCATTTCATATTTTGTTTAATGTTTTTTCAATTCTTTACAAAATCTTTTCAATCATTGTAATACACTTTCTTGTCTCATTCAGTTGTTGTTACCTAAATCCTTTGTGTAATTTCCACCCAATTCTTGCTTTCTTGTATGACTGTTTTGTCATTTTTAATTGAGAACTTCCCTTTTGTGAGGGTTGCTTTATCTTTAGTATTCCAATTAGGCTTGAACTTTACAAATGTTCCTACACAGCTGCTATTTATTTGCTTGTGCCTGATACTTTGCAAGTATTATAAATTCTAATACCACTACTTTGTTAATTTCTCTGCTTCAGACTAAGGTCCGTAAGAAACTCCTAAAACATGTTCTGGGCAAGCTGAGGGTTTTGATTTATTCACATGACAGCAAGGACACACTGGCTTTTAGCTTCCTTGTTATTTCTGGCATCTGCAGAACTCTTAAACCCAAACTTATATTTTACTACTTAAACATTTTTTTTACATAACAGCAGGAGTTGCTTTTCAATTTCTTTCCCTTGTCTCTTCATTTTGATATGCTGAACTCTTATTTTTCATTCAGGTTTTAATGTAAACACCACTGATACAGTAAAGGTGTTCCTGACCTCTAGGCTACTCATATCTATAAAAACAAGAAATAGAAATAAATGATAATAAATCTTCTTTGTTAGCAATCAGAAAAACCTATTTATGGATAGATAAACTACTTAGAGAAAAAAACACATCAATTAAAATAAATTTTAAAATATCTGTATATGAATGTATAATATATTTGGATTGTTTTGTATACTAATCATAATTATAAATGGTAATTCTATCCTCAAGAAAATTTTACAAGAGTCTTATAGTCAGAGAATAAATACATGGCTACATTTTAAACAGTTATATAACAATGTTATTTTAAATTGCAGTTCTGAAAATATATTGAATTCTTGACTAGATAGAAACCAGAAAAAAATACTGGAAAACATATCATCTAGAACTGTTTAAGATTATAATGTTATATATTATATTTTAATTTAGAAGACTGCCAGGGGACATCCCAAATGTCCATCAACTGGGAACTGGTTGAAAAAAACAATGATATATCCAAACAATGGAGTTCTGTAGAGCTGTATAAAGGAAAGAAGGATGTCTGTTTACTATCATGGAGTGAGCTACAGAAGACAAGGGGGACCCAATAAAAACCTAAAATTTGTAAAGCATTGTTTACTTATTCTTACATGTTTAAACTTCAGTCACCTTCAAAGTACTCTCCATTTGATACAATACACCTACCAAGATGCTTTTTCCATTGCTCAAAACAGTTTTTGAACTGGTCAATTCTGACCCCTTCTAGTGCTTCTGCCATTTTTTGTTTCGCCTCTTCCACCTCAGCAAAGCAGTTTTCACTGAGGACTGTTTTTCATCTAGAGAAGCAAAAGTCACCTGGGGCGAGACCAGGTGAACAGGAAGGGTGGGGCACAGGGATCATGATTTTTGGTCAAAGACTGCTGAACACTCAGCAGTGTAGACAGACTGTTCGTGTAAATCACCAGTCATGAAATGGGCAAATGGGTTGAAAAGAATCTCCCCAAAAATTCACTGAAGCCAAATACAGCTTCTCACAACAATGATAGTTGGTTGATGGCATGGGTCCCTAGAACACTTACCTAGGTACTACAAAGGGCTCACCCTCCAAAAAATTCTGCTTTTTTTGGGATCCACCTCATATATTATCAAGCGAAAAATGAATAGAAAACAGGATGGATGACATATTGCTATTTATCTAATAAAAATAAATATGCATTGCTGTGGTCTAAATGGCCAATACAGTTGAATTGGGAGGTGGGGCCTTTAAGACGTGATTAGGACATGAGGGAGCTTCCCTCATGAATGGATTAATGCTGCTATCTGAAGAATGGATCAGTTATCACGGAATTGGGCTCCTACGGAGTAAAATTTGGCCTGATTTCCCATCTCTCTGTCTTGTTGCTCACTAGCTAGTCTATAATGTTTTACTACGGCAAGTAGGCCCTTACAAATGTCAAGCAGATGCTGGCACCATGCCCTTTGACTTCCTAGCTTCCAGAACTACAGAAAATATATTTTTCTTTAGAAGTTACTCAATCTCAGTTATTTTGTTATAGCAGCATAAAATGAACGAAAACAGAAAGCGATACCAAGAAGTAGGGTTGTTGCCATAACAAATACCTAAAAATGTGGAAGCAACTTTGGAAGAGGTAATGGGTAGAGGCTGGAAGAAGCTGGAAGCCTGTATTGCTATGAACAAACATTAAAGATGATTCTGCTGAGGGTTAAGAAGAGGAAAGCTATAGGAAAATTCTAAATCTTCTTAGTTATTAAGTTGTTGCAATCAGAATGTTGACTAAATATGGACAATAAAGGTCATTCTGATGTGTCCCAGAAATTAGGAACAAAGTATTAAAAACTGGAGTAAAGGTCCTCCTTGTTATAAAGTAGCAAAGACTTTGCTGAATCATGTCCATGTTTTGGCACTTTATGAAATATAAAACTAAAGAACAATAAGGTTCAGTTATCTAGCAGAAGTATCTAAGCAACAAAACATTCAGGCTACTGCATGGCTACTGTTATCTACATACAGTGAGATGCAAGAGGAGAAAAAAATAACTTAAAGAGGAAACTTTTTAAGAACGAAAAAGTGAGATTGAAAGAAAATACTAAGTGAGTGGCCCAGCAACCAGAGATTACCAAGGGTAGAAGGCAGCTAGATTAATACTTATCAAAACAATGGGAAGAAAACCCCCAAGGCACTTCAGAGATCTTCAAGGCTGTTCCTCCCATCACAGGCCCAGAACTCTAGAAGGGCAGGAAGAGAAATGGGATGGGTGGCCTCCATGAGTTTACTGCCCAGGGCAACCTCAAGCCTTGGTAGAGTACCTGTGCTAATTCTGCAGGAATGCAGACTGAAAGAGCTGTGGGGATATGGCTATCTCCACCTAGATTTCAAAGGATGTCAAGGATACCCTGAGAGCTCAGGTAGAAATCAGCAGCAGAGGCAGAACTGTCACAGAGCATCCACACTAAGACAATGCCTACTGGAGCCATGAGAGCAGAGCAGCCCACAAGACCCCAAAATTGTAGGACAACCAGTGTGCAACTCCAGCCTAGGGAGCTACAAGTATGAGACTCCAACCTGAGAGAGCTAAAGCCCAGCAAAGCCACAGTGGTGGGGCTACCTGAGACCTTGGGGGCTCAACCCCTGCCCAGTTGTGCCCAAGACATAGGATGTGACAGTCAAAGGAGATTATTCTGAAGCTTTATGATTTATTGTTGTTTTCTGTTGGGTTTAGGACTTTACTTCTGATCAATTACCTTTTCTTGCATATCACTCACTTTTAGAATTGGAATGTCTATCCTATGCTCACCATCATATCCTACCATTGTATTTTGGGAGTAGATAGCTTTTTTTGATTTCACAAGCTCACAGCTAAAGGGAAGCTGCCTCAGGATGAATTTTCTTATTCAGAGGAGACTAGACAACACAGAGAAAACTATTCCAAGTGAATTATAAACACAGTAATTTAACTTTACAGCTATATGACAAAGAAAAATAATTTTAATCTGCTCTCAGTAATATATGATATTTGCAATGATGATAATATTGTTATCTGAAGACAGTTGTTTATAAAATGTAGAATAAATTAAGTGAATAATTACTTTATGCTCTAATTCTCCAGTGTCCTTGAGAATTAAATTCTCAACATGGGACAAAGAAAAAGTTAAGTAAAAATACAGTAGTGAAGCTGAATTAAAAGTATCAGTATAAATTCATGATGTATTTTATTTTAAAAACAATAAAACCAAACAGAAAAAATTCCTTATATTTTCTAATTTGGGTCCACTAACAAGGCCTAGATACAATGACCAACCTGGCAAAAATGAGCATCCCTAAGAATCCAGGCTATGGTTCTGAAATACCACTTTCCATTTAAAAAGGTTTCTTAGGCCAGAATGTACAAAATGAGTCAGAAACACCTTGTCATACCACATAGCAAGAAAGCTCTCAAAGATCATTAAGGCTCACATCAGAAGAAAATAAACAGTATAAAAAAGTGCATAATGGCCAAAGATAAGGCAATATAAACTTTAGTAACAACAGTAATTATCATGGTTTTAAACACAAAGTATATTGAAATCTATGAATTAATGATATCACATTTTTTAAATGAGCTGATAATGTCAGAGATGATATGATATCTGTTATTTGCTTAAAAGTAATACTGGAGTCTCTAACAAGGGTAGGGTACAGATGAACAAGACTGACACAGGTTAGTAACTGTTAGACCTAAGCGTGATTATATAGACTACTATACAGATTATAGACTACTACATATTTCATATTTTCCTTTTTTTTTCATTAAATGGAAGAGTAAGGAGATAAGCAAATGGCCAAACTTAAACTAGTGTTCTAAAATAAAGGAGAGCACAAATGACATATACCTTGTAAATCAAAGACTATTCAGTATCTATATTACTCAGCTGATGACAGGTGCTGAAAAATAGTTATTAAATGAATGAGCAGAGATAGAATAGTTGGCTCAAATGGTAAGAATAAAATAATTATTTAAAGAAAAATAATTACGATTTGATGTAATGATTACTTTCCTATGAAAGCATCGTACATTTACACAGTTCTATATAGAACAGCCAGAATGGTAGTCATCCAAGAGGGGTTTATTTTAAAGTATTATTTTTAAATAGCTTTTAGAATTTTTTCTGAAATAAACATTAATATTACACTAAGTACTTCCCACAACACAATTAACCACTGTAAATATGAAATTTGAGGGAATCTTTCACATATAAACAACTTACCTTTCAAAGGGCGCATAGACTCTCTTAATTACATGGTAGAAAAGTATGTCTTTTACCAATATATATTTATCACTTATTGACGTTATAATTCTGACACATCCAGTAAACTCTAGGTAGTTCCAGCATTCATTTACTATTGACTTTAAGTCAGCTACAGTTGTTGCATTATTTATCTGTAATGAATGACAAAATACACTCACTTTACTCATTTACATCTGGGTGACATTTACATTTCAAATGATGCTTACTATTTCATACTCAGTTTTTTAGTATAACAGGGTAGAGTGATGGTATTCTAAGAAGTATTTTTCTAGAACAAATGTCTAGCAATCCAGTTCAGCAATTATTGTATATTTCTGCCTTAAAGAAATCTAGAGTATAATGCCATTTTACTACAGAAAATTATTTATATAAAAGGAAATAAATGACATAGAAAAGTTATATAACATTATGTAATACCAGATAATCGGGAGGCTGAGATGGGAGGATCACTTGAGGCCAGGAGTTAAAAACTAGCCTGAACAATGCAGCCAGAGAAGGAAGGAAGAAAGGGAGGGAGGAAGGGAGGGAGGGAGGAAAGGAGGGAGGGAGGAAAGAAGGAAGGAAGGGAGGAAGGAAGGGAAGGGCAAGGGAAAGGGGAAGAAAAGTTATAAAGCACTAGCTAGAGAGGCAAGAGAGATAACGTGAGATTTCATGAAGGAGAAAGAATATCAGCTGAGAATTAAAAGATGGATAGAATTTTATCAAGCATATTTTGATGAACAGCATAAACAAAGAAATACTTGACCATTTATGTGTTAGACGCTTTCATGAACGTTAGCTTTTAAACAAAAGTACACAGGGAGAAAGACAAAAATAGGAGGGAATCAATAATCCATTAATGGAAAATGTACTTGCTATTTATTTTTTCCAAAACATTCTTCTCCCAGAGAATTACATGATTCCCTCATTCCTATCAAATCTCTGCTGAAATCTCAAAAGCTTTTCATGACTACTTTGTTCAAAATACTACCTTTAATAGTATGGCAGAGACCAAGAGTTGGGTATGTGCGGTCTCACCCCCACAATCTTCCACCCTGAGTTTTAGCTGGTTACATAGCTTGCAGGTAGGTGTGGCTATGTGACTAATATCTATTCAATGGCATGCTAAGTGAAAATAATGTACCAAACTTCCCCGATCTCTAATTCCACTTTCTCCCTTAAAAGCAAGCATCAACCAAGTGGATGAAGACAATATCCCAAGTGATTCCACAAAAGTGAGAGGAAGGAACTTAGTTCCATTCACAATTTTGTATAATACAACTGTATCTTTAAATCAAGGGCCATTTCTGTGAAAGAACAAACAGCATTTTATGCTTTTGAAATATATGGAGTCTAAAACAACAACTCAATTCTGTCACTGTAGTGTGAAAGCAGTCAGATACATAATAAATGGGCGTAGCTGTGTTTCAATAAAACTATTTACAAAATAAGGCCAGATTTGACCTAAGGGCTATAATATGCCAAACGCTACCGTATAATCTAGACAACAGATTTTAGAGAACAGTAAACTTCCACCTTTTATGAGCCACTGTCTTTTTGGGTCTATTTGAAACAGAAGTTTAGCTTAAATCCTAACTTACATATACCACAACCATTGTAGAGCTCTTTTTAAAACTCTGTTGTATTTATAGTAAATTTTGATACATAACAGTATATTATATTAATTTTTTAAATTCTGTGTTCCCTCTATAACGTAAATTTCAAGAAGGCAGGGACTTTGGTTCACTAACTTCAGTGACAAAACAGTACAGGATAGATAGCATTTGTTGACTAAATAATAAACACTGTACAGAAAACACAGAAACTGGAGTACATAGTCACAAAGAAAACTGGAGATCTTAAGTGCCCTCTTGAAGAGCTTAAACTTTGTTCAACAAGCTATGAGAAGCCATTGAGGATTTCCAAGGGAGAAAGCAATATGATCAAAACTGTACTTTGGGAAGAATCATCTGAATAAGAATATTAGAATAACATCCTAATGGTCCAAGTCTAGACAAAATTTGAGTTTGGTATAGTAAGAACACCAGAAATAAGGAGGAAAGGTTGAAGATAAGCATTCTTAGAGACAGATGACTTGACACATAACTGGAAATTGGACTATGGAAGAATGAAAATGACTCCATAGCCGGGCTTGGTGGCTCAGCCTGTAATCCCGTGCCTTTGGGAGGCTGAGGTGAGTGGATTGCCTGAGCCCGCGGGTTCAAGACTCGCCTGAGCAACTTGGCAAGACCTCATCTCTACAATAAATAAAAAATCAGCCAGGCGTGGTAGCACATGCCTCTAATTCCAGCTATTCGGAAGCTGAGGCGGAAGGATCGCCAGAGCCCAGCAGGTTGAGGCTGCGGTAGCCAGGAGCGGCCACTGCACTCCAGTCTGGGCGACAGAGTAAGACTCCAACTCAAAAAAAAAAAGAAAATGACTCCATCTTCAAGATGGCTTGAAAACAAGAAAACTTGTGGAAATAAAAAGCAAATACACAAAACAAAACTAAATTCTGAAGAAAAAAAAATTGCTTTTGTGTATGTTGGGTTCAGTGTGCTAGCAAGACCCAGATTTTACCTGAACATAAAAGTCTGGGCTCAAAAATATAGGTCTCTGAATGATTCAGAAAGGTTATGGGAGAGAAAAGAATCACAAAAGAATATATAATGAGGACTGTTAAGACAACACTGAAAAATGCCAGTTTCAGGAGAAAGAAGAAGCATTGAAGAAAACAATAGTAGTCATAAGTTGGAGGGAGTACAATATTAAATAAAACACAGGAATTCTAAGAAAGTGGAATTTCAGAAGTCAGAGAAGATGAAAAATTAGAAAAGAAAGGCCTTTGGATTTCGAGATCTAGATCACTGGATATAAGCTAAGAAGTAGCTTATCTGAGAGTGGTGGTGGGAATAGAAGCTTAATTACAAAAAGTTAAGAAAAAAACAGGAAATAGAAAGTAGAGACAATGAAGTTAAAGTACTTTTTTTGTTAAAGAAGACAAAAGGGAAAACAGAGTTAAACAGTCAATTTAAGGTTGGGCTCAGTGGCTCAGCCTGTAATCCCAGCACTTTGGGAGGCTGAGGTGAATGGATTGCCTGAGCCTGCGGGTTTAAGACCAGCCTGGGCAACTTGGCAAGAACTCATCTCTACAATTAAAAAAAAAAAAAAAATTAGCCGGGGGTGGTAGCTCATGCCTGCAATAAAGGCTGAGGTGGAAGGACCTCTTGAGACCAGGAGGTCGATACTGGGGTGGTCGTGAACATGCTACTGTACTCCAGCCTGGCAATGCAGTGTGACTCCAACTCAAAAAAAAAGATATAATGTTAGGATTTGCAGTCTTGGGGCAAACATACAATTGTTATAATACAATATAGCAGCTTATACTTAATAACGCTTACTTTGTGGTTTATAAACTGAGGCTTCACAAGAATAACTAATATTTCCAAAGTCACCCAGGGTATAGCAGTTAGTAGAGTTGACATTCAAACTAAAATCTGACTTCTGAGCTATGCTTCTAAGCATTAAACGATATTGTCTATTACTTGGAACAATGGATAGAGTATGCTTAATAAAGAAGAAGGTTAAAGAAGTTAAATGGCTCCCATTGTCTTAGTTTATGATAAATAACATGTAGACAATGATATTTATATAGCATTATAATAACGAGTTTGTATCATGTTACATGTTTAGTACAATTATAAGTGCTCAATAAATGGTACTATTTTTAGGTGTAAGTGCTGAAATTCAGCTTGGTGTTTCCATCAATCACTCATACTTCCCTATAAGAGGAAGGGTAAGTATATTCTGACTGGTGAGCCAAACCCATTTTCTCTTCAGATTCCACCTGCATGCAAAAAAGTGCACTTCCATCTACTCTCTAGTAAGCAATAAGGAACCTGCCTCACATTGTGTCTAGCAAGGACAGTAAATTCACCCTAATTTGGAGGAGTAATTTTGTAAATTTTTTTTTTTTTTTGAGTTGGAGTCCCACTCTGTCGCCCAGACTGGAGTGCAGTGGCCGCCCCCGGCCACCACAGCCTCGACCTGCTGAGCTCCAGCGATCCTTCGGCCTCAGCCTTCCAAGGGAGCTGGAACTACAGGCGCGCACTACCACGCCTGGCTAATTTTTTATTTATTGTAGAGATGAGGTCTCGCCAAGTTGCCCAGGCGGGTCTTGAACCCGTGGGCTCAGGCAATCCACTCACCTCAGCCTCCCAAAGCGCTGGGATTACAGGTTGAGCCACCGAGCCTGGCTAATTTTGTAATTTTAACCTCAGATATAAGTCACATTATGCAACTGGTTTTGCCAACATCAAATCTGGTACTTTAATATCCATCTGTCTGATGTTTATATCTATCTCTTTTTTTTCTTTTTTGTGAGTTGGAGTCCCACTCTGTCACTCAGACTGGAGTGCAGAGGCCGCTCCCGGCCACCGCAGCCTTGACCTGCTGGGCTCCAGCGATCCTTCTGCCTCAGCCTTCCAAGTAGCTGGAACTACAGGTGTGCACTACCACGCCCGGCTAATTTTTTTGATTTATTGTAGAGATGAGGTCTCCCCAAGTTGCCTAGGCGAGTCTTGAACACGCAGCCTCAAGCAATTCACTCACCTCGGCCTCCCAAAGCGCAGGATCACAGGCTGAGCCACTGAGCCCGGCTATATCTATCTCTTAATTGGTTCTGAACTCTGCTGGTAAGCAGAAAATTATATACTGACAATACCTGACTACTCCATATAGTTTTATTATTCAACTGCAGATAAGTCATTTATATTAAAAGATACCTAGAATATAGTCTATATTTTAATAAACAAATACATTTCTTACCCTGATTATAATTTGTGCCACATCAAAGTCTGAAACATCATCTAAAACTGGTTGAGTGTTTTGTGGTCCATAAACAAGGCAGTTAAACAAGGTTTTAGAAAAGAATCCAGGCGAAGGACCACCATGCACCAAGGAAATGGCAATCATTTTGCCAGCTTCATAGTAAAAATTCTCTTTCAGAGCTGTGAAACACAGATAAAAATACATCAAATACACTCTTCTAAGATAACCATCATTGTTAATAAATATATGTAAAACTTAATCCAAAAATTTAAGCATCAGATAAATACAAAATAAGAATTCCTAGGAGCTACTATTATATAGAAAATATAGCCTTCACCTAAAATATATAAAAAAATATATTTTTCTAAATATATGGTAATAATCTATTATAGAAAAAATAAAAATACAGAAAATCTTAAAACACAACGCCAATAAGCCTACCACCATAATAACCATTGTAAAAACCTTGGTGTATAGTTATATTCCATATAATGATGTTCTGGTCATTGAGGGACCAAATATACTAAAGTGGCCCCAAAGATTACAATAAAGTTGGAAAATTCTCATGGCCTAGTGCCATTACAGAGGTCATAATGTCATAGTGCAATGCATTACGTTTTCTATATTTAGATAAACAGATACCATTGTATTACAACTGCTTACAGTATCCAGTACAGTAACATATACAGGAGCAAGCCTAGGTGTGTAGCAGGTTATACTATCTAGGTTTGTGCAAGTACACTCTATGATCTTTGCACAACAATGAAGTCATATGGCACACTTCTCAGTATTTCATTGTTGACTGACTCAAGACTGTACTCTTGTGTGTACATATAAATATATATTTTTTGACTTGTACTTTTTCTCACTTTATTATAAACTTTTTCTTATACACCTTAAAATTACTCAAATCCAAAGTTAATGAAAGCATAAAGACTAATTCAGCAATGCTAACCATCCCACTATTACTGGCTATCCTGGCTAAGTAACATTTTCAATTATATAAGACAATTGTTAAAACCAATATCTATTTACACGATCTTGTTTTTATATAGTCGACTGTTTAATTAGAATAGATTCCTACATGTTTTTAGCAACTTTGATTTGCCCCCCAAAATTATGTAAATTTTTCCTCATTTTTACTATTAATTGTTAAAAGCAATTTATTAATAATACCTAAACTCATAATAAAATCTCTTCAACAATAACTTTATAAGCTATATATTTGTAGTCACATTTTACAGATGAAGAAACTGAGATACAGAGAGTAAGTAATTAATCTAAGGATATAAAGCCAATGAAGTACATATATAAACTCTTTAATACAGATTTTGTGACTTAAATTCATGGACTCTCCACTGTACCAAAGCTGTCTTGAATTAACATAACTGATTACTTGGAAAGTTTTTTTTTTTCTTAAGGGAGTTTAGAATTAAACTTTGTGAACTGTATATAGTAAAGATGATAATTTAGAAAATGGTGAGATAGTGAGGAAGTTCTACAAAAAATATATGAGGAAATTCAAATGGAATGAAATGTCTTCTGATATTCTTTCAAATTTACTACTGCATAAAAAGTGGTGTAAGAGCTCCTAAAAGAGAATGCTAGAATTTCCCACTGTTTTGAGATGCCTATTTCATTAAATACCCATCAATCGCAAAGGGGACATTAATTCTCCATCATTTGTAAAGACAGAAAAGTATCTTACACATAATTGTGTTAAAAAAAAAAAAAAAAGGATCTTGCAAACAAAAGTACACTGAAAAATCTTTTACATGTGGACCAGAAAAATATGCTATAAAAATCCTGTTGTTAAAAAAAAAAATACTATGAGTACATTCCAAATATATAAACAAGAATAATTCAAATAACTATCCTGCTTACTTAGTCACTTTATTCAAATGTAATTAAAGTTAATATAAAATTCAAATAAAGTTATATTAATTGTGGAATCACTTTGAGGATATTGTTATAAAAAATGTATAGATATTCTTGAATAAAAAATGCTTCACCACGAAATTTACTTTTTAAAATATCACTCTCTCCTCCCTTTCCTATGATTATATCAGTCGTTTAATAACAAAGACAATTGTATATTTAGACCACACACATTGAAGATCAATTCTAACCAGTTAGCTATTTATTTTTTTAAACATGTGATATTTGGTATATACAACAAAAAGTAAAATAATTACCTTGAGAATTTAGAGACAAGTTCTTTGACAAGGACCCTTCAAACAATGATGAGTTCTCAAGATGTTGCATTAAGAGACTCAGAAATTCTTGCTTTGATCCAGGATGCTCTCTTCCAAAATTATCATTTTCACTAACATATGCTATTTCAATTGTATATGAAGGATTAAATGTTTCATTTCTGAATCCATTTAAGGCACTATTCCAGATATTGGCTTTGTTGATACATAATCTTTTAGTTTTTTTTTTAATTTGGAATCCTAACTCTATCAATATAGTTGAAATATCTCTTCTAAACTTGCTGCCTTGCCTATAAAACATAAATTTGAAAATAGAGGTAAGTACTTTAAAGTACTTTATGTAAAACAGCAGTTATACAGCCAAAAAAAAAAAGAGAAAAAAGATTAAAAGGAAATTCTTCCCCAACGCCCATCCAAAAGCATGGCAATGGCTGCTACTGAAACCAGAAACAGCAATTTGTTAACCTAATTTTTAAATTCTTGATTTCTCAACCCAATTTTCTACATCAAATCAGAATCATTTACAAAATTGTGGGGATAGATAATCATCTCAAATTTGACCCATCAGTGAATTCAGGTTTAAGAGTCAGAAACTCAAAACTCTCCTAGTCAATGCTTATAACAAACTTTAATTGTAGTTTATTTCTTTTTTTTTTTTTTGAGTTGGAGTCTCACTCTGTCGCCCAGACTGGAGTGCAGTGGCCGCTCCTGGCCATCGCAGCCTCAACCTGCTGGGCTCCGGCGATCCTTCCGCTTCAGCCTTCCAAGTAGCCGGAATTACAGGCATGCGCTACAACGCCCGGCTGATTTTTTATTTATTATAGAGATGAGGTGTCGCTGCCCAGGCGGGTCTCGAACCCGCGGGCTCAGGCAATCCACTCACCTCAGCCTCCCAAAGGCGCGGGATTACAGGCTGAGCCACCGAGCCCGGCTGTAGTTTATTTCATATTCACTACATCCTTTTTAAACAAGCAAATGTAATGTCTGCTTGCTTTTGAGAAAACTATGGAGTTGAGAGATTATATAACACGTTTTAAATCATAGTTATAATTACTAATATAGCTAATAAATATTATAAAATAATTCAGTTTATTAAATGCTTTTTAGTCTAGACCAGTAAGTCTCAGAGTGAGGTCCCAGACCAGCAGCAGCATCATCACCTGGGAACTTGTTAGAAATGCAAATTGAGCCCCACAGTACATTTACAGAATCAGAACCTCTGGGCATGGGGGCCATTAATCTGTGTTTTAACAATCTAGGTAACTGTTTGGTCTTACTAAAAAAATAATAATAATAATTCCCTGTCTCAGTTTCTCCATCTGTAACTGGAATCGATGTACTCAAAATAATCTTGTTTTGAGTAAGATTATATTTCATACCAAGTACAAATGTGTCCTGTCCCCCGGATATTATGATAGCCCACTATGGGCCAGACTTTGCCTTTTGTTGTATAATTCCCTCTTCATTAATCCAAACTGAATAAAAACTAGAGTCCTTTGAAAGTGAGATAATTCTTTAGAAACACATTTTTATAGGCTGATTCCTTGCTCCTGCTGGATCAGTGGGCATGTGGATGCTATTTCTAGAATATGATTGCACGTTAAAGAAGGAACAAGGAGTCAAGCTTCTCTGGTGTAACATCATTGGAAACCCACATATTAAAATTATTAAAAACAATGAGAACATCTTTTTTAATGCTGAAAGTATTACAATACTTGTAACAGATTTTTCAGTTGAGTTAACGTAAGTGGCATTTTATTTATTTATTTTGGAGACAGGCTGGAGTGCAGTGGTACACTCATGGCTACTGCAGCCTCAACCTGCTGGGCTCAGGCAATCCTCCCGCCTCAGCCTTCCAAGTAGCTGGAACTACAGGCACACACCACCATGCCCGGCTAATTTTTCTTGATTTGTTGTAAAGACGAGGTCTTGCCAAGTTACCCAAGATGGTCATTCCTCTCACCTCTGCCTCCCAAAGTACTGGGATTACAGGCGTTAGCCACTACACCTGGCCTCAAGTGGCATTTTAAAATAGCAATTCCTCACTTTTTGAAGTACTTAATATTCCACCCATCTGCAAATCTAGTTATCAAATATTTTTTTTTAATTTTCTGTCTTTTAAGCTTTTAAAGTTGAAACTACTTTTTAACAAAAAAATACTTCCTCATGCTTAGCTACTAGTGTTACTTTTCTGCTTTTTCCCCATTGGGTAAAATGAGGTTCTGAAACTTCTGCAAAGTTTCATATGCAAAACTACCTTATCTTAAAAATCATAACTATAGTTGAACAAATACCTGTCACATTATAAAGATGTACTTCCAATCTTGTTTAAATGTTTATAATATCAAGTTAGTTATTTTGCTATCTTATGGAAATAGAAATTAATTTGATGATACTTAAAAGTATGCCTTAAACTTTTTCAAGAAAAGAGCTGCCGGGCTCAGTGGCTCAGCCTGTAATCCCGCGCCTTTGGGAGGCTGAGGTGAGTGAATTGCCTGAGCCCGCAGGTTCGAGACCCCCCTGGGCAACTTGGCGAGACCTCATCTCTACAATAAATCAAAATTCAGCCGGGTGTGGCAGCACGCACTTGTAGTTCCAGCTCCTTGGAAGACTGAGGTGGAAGGATCGTCGGAGCCCAGCAGGTCAAGGCTGTGGTGGCCAGGAGCGGCCACTGTACTCTGGGCGACAGAGTGAGACTTCGACTCAAAAAAATAAAAAAAATTTAAAAATTAAAAATAAATAAAGGGAAGAGCTGACATTCAGACTTCTGATGTTGACAATAAATATATTATGCAAATAATAATTGTAACATCAAAAAACAAACTATCTCTAGATTAAATAGGATTCTTTTTTTAAACAAAATGACATGGTATGCTTGGTATTTTAATTTTATCTTATTCTATAATCAAATAACAAATATAATCAACATTTATAGTAACAAATATAAGCAATATTTATAATAACAAATAACATTAATAAGCACATTTTCCATTTTCCAGATTAGTGTTTTTTCAAACTATCTTGAAAATGATCTGTAATAAAAAATATATTTTACATCACGACCCAATATACAATAAAATAACTAAGATTTCATATACATCCTATGTACAGTACAATTTGATATTCTGTATTCTATTCTACGTTATTTAATTTTCCTTTTTAAAGGCTAGTTCCATTGATTTCATAATAAAATGTTGAGTCCTGCAGTTTGAAAAACACTCTTGACCAGCCTAGGAAACTTGGTGAGATCTCCTCTCTACAATGTATCAAAGTATTAGCCAGGTGTGGTAGCCTGCGCCTATAGTTCCAGCAACTTGGAAGGCTGAGGCGGAGGGATTGCCTGAGCCCAGGAGGTCGACGCTGGGGTGACCGGGAGCATGCCACTGCACTCCAGCATGGGAGACAGAGTGAGACTCTGACTCAAAAAAAAAAAAAAGAAAAAGAAAAACATTCTTTTAGACTACTGTATGATCCACTAATATTCTAAGCATTTATGCCATGTCCTATCAGAATTTTCTACAAATAGATTTTTATATTTTTCTCCAATTCAAAATACACACCTTAGTAGATCTTTACTCTGGGCTCCAGGTGACTGTCTGGGTAATTTAGGTGATGACTCTTCCAACAAACAATCTGTAATTCCCACATTATTAGGGTTGGGTAATGCATGTTTTTTGGCTTTTTGGAACTCTCCTGCAGATTTAAACTCCAATGTTAGCATGATAAAGATATGGGCAAAAACTTTTAAATATGCATTTTAATAAAAACAACTTGATTCAAAAATATAAAATATTACCTGAATTATAGATAATACCTCTACATTCCAAACACTCCCAGTTTTGTTCCCAGGATTTTAATGAGGAACAGGCTAAATGTGTTCCACTGGAACCACAACACTGACAACGCTTTATTTCCCATTTGCTGAGGAAGAAAAAGAGATGCTTACATTGGTGTATTAGTCTAGTTTCAACCACCATGTCTGCCATAGGCCCTGTCCTCTGCCTTCCCACGCCCACATAAACACAAATACATCCAATACTTTTACCAAGGAAGAAAAACAGATTATCTGCTCCTCTAAGTATCTCGTAATATAAAAACCTAAACTAACTTATTATTAACAAATACACTTACATGAACATACACAAAGAATAGAAACATCAGAAAAAAATAAGACTAAGATGGTAAAAAAAAATGTTCCATTTCTACTTGGAGATGACTATGCTCACAGAGAGACTGGGTCAGTGTGTCTGACATGGAAGGAACAGTCAGTAAATTTCAAGGTGAGGGATGTTTCCTAAAATAAGCTTGCTCAAACACCTTTGCTATTATGCAGTTCTACCTGACTTATATTTATATTCTGTCATCTGTTCCCCTCCTCCATGTTTCACTGCATTATATGATATGTGCAAGTTCATATTCATATTTTCTGTATGAGTGCAGGTGTGAGACTCCATCTTCCTTCCTCTTTGTATGGGTATGAGTACATCATCTTTGTACAGAAATGGATATAACTCCCTGAGCATGTGTATGGGTGGGAAGAGAGGTAGCCAAATATCCTCCCCCACTCCACAGGTGTTGGTGTTTCATCCATCTGGGTATGTGTGTATCAGTATGCATCTTCTCTGTGTGTGTGGTCTCCGCCTTTCCCAAGATAGTTTTGCCAACTGTCAACAAGGAGGGGGAAGAAGATAGTGAACGTGAAGTGAATGCTTATTATGCACCAGTCACTGCTCCCACTCTTCAGGTGAAAAATTTAATCCTGGCAATTTTAGAAGGTGAGAGAAATGCACAAAATGTTGAAGAAAAGAGCCATCATCTGTTGATATTATGGAGGAATAATCAATAAATTTAAAATACCAAACAATTTTTATAGTGGTCCAAAAGAGACATTGCTAGATTAATCTAGTTAAATCACCCTCTAGAACAGAGCTGTCCAATAGAAATGCAATATAAACCATATTTGTAACGAAATAATTTTTAGCAGCCACATTAAAAAATGTGAAAAAAAAGGGTGAAATTAATTTGGCTGTATTTCACCTCAAAAATGCTATGATCTTGTTCACATGTAATATATATAAAAACTAGTAATAAAATATTTTAGATTCTTTTCTTCATAAGATTATGGGCTAAATTGCCTAACCCCATAGAACTTCAGAATGTGACTATATTTGGAATAAGGTCTTTAAAGAGATAATTAAAGCAAAATAAGGACATATGGGTGGGCCCTACACCGATAACACTGACAGAAAGACAAACATGTGAGGACATAGCTAGAAGGCAGCCACCTGCAAGTCAAGGAGAGAGGCTCAGAAGAAACCAAACATGCCATCACCTTTATCTTGGACTTCTAGCCTCCAGACTTGTGAGAAAAGAAATTTATGCCATTTAGGCCACATAGGCTGGCGGTGGTATTTTGTTATGGCAGCCCAAGTAAACTAAGTCTTTGCAGCACTCTTCAATTTGGAAAAGAAATATTTTAAGTGCTCAATGGCTACATGTGGATAGCTGCTACCACATAGGACAGTGTGGCTCTAGAAAACAGAGTCTCATGAAAATATACCAATAACTAAATAAATAAAAAGTTGCAACTATACTAGCTGCAAAAATTTCTCTGTAAACAGATCTAAATATACATTAATAAATATTTCTTATCTCAAGTTAAAACTTTAAACATCCTAAAAACAAGACTATATTTTACTAACTAGAAAATCTACTTTCTCAGCTGGAGGTTTAAATAAGGAACCACTAAGCACAACTGAACTTCCAGAAATACCTATCAGGTACATTATAGTCTCGCCCTTCTTTGCAACGACATCTTCGAACATCACAATGCTCATGGTGCTGCAGAAGCTCTTGATAAGCATTTTCCTCTAATTCCCAAGATGCATCTCTATAAAAGAAGCAAGTATAAAATATACTTTGACCTATAATGTTACATAAAAGGATAAGGAATGACTCTTAAAAAACTTGCACATACTTAGGAAGAAGAATGAAACATATCCTTCTTAGGATCAATCATTTTTTCTTCAAGATATAGCTCCATTAGTGTAATTTTATCCTACAGTTACTTGGTATCACGGTAAATTTTATAATGCTAAATGAAAAATTAGTCAGAAATTTTCTTAAACACATTTTTTCTAATATTTTGTTTCCAATTTTTAATTTCAAATTTACTATCATTATTTCTTCTTGCATTATTTCATCTTTAAGAATTAAGAAAATTCTCGTACATTTTAACAACATCTTTATTCTCTTAATTTATATACAACATTTTGAAGTCTATTATAATAGTATAGAAATCAAAGAATTAAAATTGGCACAGATAAGGTACTTATCAAGAGATTACAAATCAACTAATGAGACAACTGTGTCACAGTTCCGGCTCTTCCAAGAGCTAGCAATATGAGGGGAGGAAGAGGAGGAGGAAGAGGAGGAGGAGGAGGAGGAGGAGAGAAGGCTTTACAATTCACCACTTGAAATAGCTACCTGTCCACGATCACTCAATCAGAAATAAATGATCATTCTCATTGCCATTAAATCCTACTTTAAAAAATATTTTTTTGTCAAAAGGCTAAATGTTACTCACTTTTCAGGAATATGAATTCCCATTCTCAACATCTCTTTCTGAAAGATATCACTATTATTGCATATTGTACACCTAAAGAAAAACATTCCTGCATTTATTGCTTGAACCTACAGTGGAAAACAGAAAATCTATTGTTAATGATTTAAGTCTGTTATCAGGTTAAGAATTATATAACTAGCAGAACATGTACTATTTTTCATATAATAAATTAGAAAAACATTTTCTATGTTAGTGGGTCCTCAAATGTTGTCCTTATAAACTATTTTATTGCTAAAATTTGGAGATCTTTTTTTCACCAATAGTTGAAAAAAAATTAAGCTAATAAACAGACTATTCTTAGCTTTACATCTATCATCCACAGATTCTTCTCAACCTTGAGGCTTTATGTAATTTATGCTCCTAAATATTATTTTACCCTCCACACCAAGAGGATAAATATCTTGAGTTACTTCATCTAGGTAGGATGTTTAAGTAGTGTTATTTACAAATCTTTCCAGGTTCTTTTTTTTGGGGGGGGGGGTTTCACTCTGTCACCTGGGCTGGAATGCAGTAACACAACCATAGCTTACTGCAACCTCAACCTCCTGGATTCTAGCAATCCTCCTGCCTCAGCCTCCTCAGTAGCTGGGACTATAGATGCACACCACCACGTGCAACTAACTACTTTTTTGTAAAGACAGGGGTCTTGCTTTGTTGGCCAGGCTGGTCTCAAACTCCCGGGCTCAATCAATCCTCCTGCCACAGCCTCCCAAAGTGCTAGGATTACAAGCGTAACCACAGTGCCTGGTCATGGTTCTGTTTTTAACTCAATCTCTAAGTTAGTTGTCTTCCCAAAAGTGGATAAGTATAAAACAACCCATTTTCACTGCTACAGCATATACAAATATAGAAGCACTAGAAAAAGGGTATTCAAAAGAAAACAGTAAGCTATAAGCCTACTAATAAGAGTAGGCAGTCTCCAATAAAAACAGGTAGCACACGTTCATTTAACAAATAGCTAACCTCACTTTATAGATGCCAGACACAATGCGATGTACAAAAAAATAGTAACACACAGCATTTGGTAATACATACCAAAAAGAAAAACACAAGCCGGGCTCGGTGGCTCAGCCTGTAATCCCGTGCCTTTGGGAGGCTGAGGTGAGTGGATTGCCTGAGCTGGCGGGTTCGAGAACTGCCTGGGCAACTTGGCGAGACCTCATCTCTACAATAAATCAAAAATGAGCTGGGCGTGGTAGCACGCGCCTACTTGGAAGGTTGAGGCGGAAGAATCACCGGAGCCCAGCAGATTGAGGCTGCGGTGGCCGGGAACGGCCACTGCACTACAGTCTGGGTGACAGAGTGAGACTCCAACAACAACAACAAAAAAACACGACTTAGATTCGACTTCAAGAAATTCTAATGAGTAGGTATACAACTATAATACTGTGTGTGTGTAAGTCTACATGGAAGAAAGAAAAAGTTCCAAAGTCTACACTGACAAATATGTCACAGAGGTAGTGAGGCCAAAGGTAAGTTTAGAAGAAGAAATAGAAGTTTGCCAGGAAAACAGGATAAAAGACAGTCCAAGGATAGAAAATAACATAATTAAGTATCAGTGGCAAAAGAGAGAAAATGTGATTAGTAAAGTACAATTAATAAAATACTTACAAATTATATCCTAACCAAACTGAACTAACTAATAAGGCTGGACAGGTAAATCAAAGCCGGTAGTGTGTGAAGAATGAATTGACAGGGAGTAAGGCATCCAGGAGAAAGACCAACTACTAGTGGGCTTCTACAAAAAGAGGAGCCTGAAGTTAAAGCAGCAAAGTAGAAGTGCAATAAAAAAAGACACACACAAAAATAATTATTACGTACCCCTGGGGAATTATTTATGGATGGTGAAGAAGTGAATAAAGAGAATTCCAAGTTCATACAACTAGAAAACTAGAAAGCAGCACACACACGCACACACATGGGAGGGAAATAACAAGTTATTGAAATCTCTCAACCTAAAGATATTTGAGCAATAGCAGACATATGCCAAGATCTTACTAAATATAGGATGTGATACAAGGAAGTATCTGGTATGGGGGGAAAAGAAAACCAGCACAAGACACACGGAAGATAACAACAAGACTAGAGTAATGATGGAGATATCCAAACTAAAAAGAATAGTGACAATTCTGTAGACACAGAGTGGAAAGTTTTTACTAATTTCTTTAATATTAACCTCTAGCCTCTTCTCACAAAATCTCAATGTATAGCACTTGTAGTGGTTACAAATAATGACACTTGTTTAAATACATACAGCTATCTAGGCTGGGTAGACTCCATATACAATTTCATTTAAGACTGATACCAGAACTTAGAGTCTATCATACTCAGTGATCTGTCACAGAAACCAAGAACAGAGTACCACATGCTCTCACTCATAAGCAGACCCTGAACATTTACCATAATACTATAAGAAAGGGATTGGCAGTAGTGGGATACTGCCGGGGGTGGGAGAACACAACAACAATAAGGGTACCTGATCTCAAAACCAAGCAAAGTGGAGACCAAAGGGAGGCTCAAACTTTACCTGTACAATGACCACTTGTATACCTAATCCTGAATTATATCCCACATCTTTAAAAGAAAAAAAAAAAAAAAAAAAAGACTGATCCAGAGTAAAAAAATCACTGAGAATCCTATAGAAAAAGTGACTAAGAATCAGCCCCAGCCGGGCTCGGTGGCTCAGCATGTAATCCCGTGCTTTGTGAGGCTGAGGTGAGTGAATTGCCTGAGCCCGCGGGTTCGAGACCCACCTGGGCAACTTGGTGAGATCTCATCTGCATAATAAATCAAAAATTAGCCAGGCGTGCACGCGCCTGTAGTTCCCACTACTTGGAAGGCTAAGTGGAAGGATCGCAAAAGCCCAGCAGGTAGAGGCTGCGGTGGCCAGGAGCGGCCACTGTACTCCAGTCTGGGCGACAGAGTGAGACTCCAACTCAAAAAAAAAAAAGAATCAACCTCATTTGGGTATACTCTAATCAAATAACAACTGCCCATCAACATTTGTATCATAGACAGGTACACATTATGGCTGTAATTTTAAATTCTATTTGCATAAAGTAGACCTATTTTTTTGTTAGTGATATTATTTCTATTTTTAGCGACACAAATGAAAACAGTATTTTCAGAGTGTTCACAAAATGCTCTAACAATACTAGGTCAAATTTGAGAACTTCTCTTTGCTTAATTATTAACATATACATGAAGAAAATCTTATTTGGCTTAAAAAAATAACATATTAGCCGGGCTCGGTGGCTCAGCCTGTAATCCCACGCCTTTGGGAGGCTGAGGTGAGTGGATTGCCTGAGCCCGCAGGTTCGAGACCCGCCTGGGCAACTTGGCGAGACCTCATCTCTACAATAAATCAAAAAATCAGCTGGGCGTGGTAGCGCATGCCTGTAGTTCCAGCTACTTGGAAGGTTGAGGCGGAAGGATCGCCGGAGCCCAGCAGGTCGAGGCTGCGGTGGCCGGGAGCGGCCACTGCACTCCAGTCTGGGTAACAGAGTGAGACTCCAACTCAAAAAAAAAAATATTGCTACAAAATTAATAAGATGACATTTGGCAACAAATACATTCATCCAAAGATAAACTCTTAATTAAAACATGACTTTTTAAAGATTCTTATATAATGTTAACTTCTTCCTCAATAGGTAACGATAACACTTCTTGATGTTGTTTATAAACTGTACTCTCTAGGATCCTTTTAAAAACATTTCTTTGCAAGAATTAACAGAATTTGTAATATTTACCTAACAAAATAGCCTTTATCGTGTACTTTTAACTGAATAATCATAAGTATAAAGTTCAAGGTCCATACAAAAAAGTAAAAAGTAATCAGTAATCCTTTACTAGTGTTAGTACTTTCAAGACTTTATTGAAATTAGAGAATTTACATCTCCTAACTTTTAAAAATATGTTGTGGACAATTTTTTAAAAATTACTAATCATGTATTGAAAGCAGTATGAGGTTCCATGACACCAAATAGACCAATTCTGAGGATTTCCCAATGATAAATTTAACAGTTCCAGCATCTTCAGTGTTTATCAAAATACAAAAGAAAAAAGTAGAGGTCATCTTTTAGATGGCAAATGGATCCCTTGTAGGCTGAGGGGAGAAGCTACTTCACACATGGAGACGGGTGCCTGAGCTGGGAGTCTAGAGGGCTGCCTGCCAGCACACGTTCCTGCTGTTGAGGCTTCAGCCATCCTGCCAATATGTCTGAGTGAGCGTGAGCACTGGGGATGACAGGGGCCTGCTCTGGCCACACACTGAGCAGGGTCAGGTAGGACCCATGTCCCCTGAGCTGCTGTGGAGGGGCAGCCAGGTGAGGAGTGGGATGGCCATGGGCTCCAAACATGTTGTGTACAATTTATAATCAATAACAACCTTACATTTTACTAAACAAAAATAAAATCCAAGATTTAAAAAACTACTAAACTTAAGTAAATCTTTTATTATTTGGCATTCTATTATATCTACCAGCAAACACTTTCACACAGGCATATTGCATATGTGACATTATTAATAAATGAAATTTATTAACTGAATAATCATAAGTACTTTCAGACTCAAAGAAATATTAAGTTGTTTCATGTTGTGTGTTTAATCATATTGTATTTACTTGAAAAGTGGTCATCAGGTTTGATATATGATTCTCAGTGAACCAATATACCTCATTCATTGACAGTAATCAGCTCTTTGTCAAGAAGTTATGATAAAGTGCTTACCACAGGGAGAAAAAAGGCCTCAACATTTAAATATCTTAGTTTGCTATCATTTCACATATCTTGGTTTTCCAGCTTAAATATGTAAATGAAACTTAGGAATTAAAATCTGTGTTTTATTCATTGTGAAATCAAACAAAATCTTTAGGTAAAAACAAAAGAACTGTGTGTTAAAAGGTTGTGTCTAAAATATTTTTTAAATGGTAATTGTACACTTAAATACGGTGAATTTTATAGGTAAAATATGATTTAAATTAAATGCTTTAAAGCTGTTTTTAAAAGTTATAAATAGTAAGCACTATGAAAATTCCTCCCAATTTAAAATTTAAATTGGCAAATCACAAATTTTGTATCAATCAGAGAAAGCTTATAAAACATATCTTACCTGTAAACAGTCTCTATGAAACCAAGCATTCTTACAACAAGGACTTCGCAAAATGCTGTAAGTTGGAATAGGCTCAATAAATTCCAAGCAAATGGTACATGGTAAGGAGTCTCTATAATTATTAGGTGTAATTATCTGAATAGGTCGATGGTGCCAACAAAATGACCTAAAAATGAAGATTTAAAAATAATTATCTAATGAATTGCAAAGCAAGCCTAGGCTAGTATTGTAATTCACATATATAAGAGAAAATTTATTTGCAACGATCTCATAATTACAATAATACAGACCGGAGTCTTGGCACTATAAATTAGTCTCATAATCTATGACCAAGGAGAGCTGGACATTCAAAATGTGAACTTTTTAAGAGTGAGACTTATTTGTATATAATTTCAGTAACTAATATTATGTTGAAAATTCTATATAATATTGTTAGCAATGAACTATATACACTATTGTATTAAAAATTGAGTAGATACTATTGTGTTCAGTATAGTATAATATCAAAGAAAGCAGAAATTTACACTTAAAGAATATTTTAATTATATAACACTAAAATGCAAACAGGTCAGGCATGGTGGGTCACACCTGTAATCCCAGCACTTTGGGAGGCCAAAGTAGAAGGATCACTTGAGCCTAAGAGTTCGAGACTAGCCTGGGCAACACATTGAGATCTCGTCTTCATAAATTATAAAAAAAAAATAGCCAGGTGTGGTGGCATGCACCTGTAATACCAGCTACTTGGGGGGCTGAGGCAGGAGAATTGCTTGATCCCAGGAATTCAAGACCAGTCTGGGCAACGTAGCAAACCCATGCCTCTACAAAAAATAAAAAAATTAGCCCGGCATGGTAGCACAAGTCTGTAATCTCAGCTACTTGGGAGGCTGAAGTGAGAGAACTACAGCCCAGGAGGTTGAGGCTGCGGTGAGCTGTGACTGTGCCACTGCATTCCAGCCTGGGCAAAAGAAGGAAACCCCATCTCAAAAAAAGTTGTAGGGGGCATGTGAATTATATTTTGATAAAGCTGTCATTTAAGAAACATTTTTTTTTTTTTTTAGTTGGAGTCTCACTCTGTCACCCAGGCTAGAGTGCAGTGGCACACTCATGGTCACCCCAGTATCGACCTGCTGGGCTCCAGTGATCCTTCAACCTCAGCCAACCAAGTAGCTGGAACTACAGGTATGTACTGCCATGCCTGGCTAATTTTTGATTTAATGCAGAGATGAGGTCTCACCAAGTGCCTGGTCTCGAACCCGCGGGCTCCAGCAATACACTTGCCTCGGCCTCCCAAAGTGCTGGGAATACAGGCTGAGCCACCGAGCCCAGTCAAGAAACACTCTTTAGAAGAGGTGGGCCACCTCATATGAGAAGCAAAGACTTGCCCTTGAAGGAAGATCTTCTGTAGCTACAGTGGGCTGGAGGTACATCTTTGGAGGTCCCTAACCTCTCTCTTCTTCCTCCTCACCCACACGATACCAAGGTTACCAGGGAATACTGGCGGTGGGATGAGCTAACCCCAACTGAACTCAGCCTCTACCCCAAACCAATCAAGGGTTTGTTTATGGGAGTGCTAGATCAGCCCTCGGCTGCTATGAGATGGTAGGATGATCAAGTCTACTTCGTCAAGAAACATTCTACTTCCATTAAAAACATGGCCATGCCTATGGGTTCAAAGTACAACTGGGCTGAGGTGGATTTCTCCTTTTGCCTGGCCAGCCTCTGGCTTTTTTCCAAGAGCAAGCTTTACCCTGTTCTGTGTGGTCCTGGTGGAAATGCTATTTAGAGTTCCTTGCCTCCCGCTAAGGGGCAAATACCTAGCTGAGTCCAATCAGACTCTAGTTTGTAAATCTGAATTCTGAGTAAGCAACCCAAGGAAACTATAGGACTGAATCATTCTCAGGATAGCACTTGAAAATTTCCAGCTGAGATCCCTGTAGCTGGCCTTAACCCTATCTTTGGGTTTGGGCACAGTCATCTAATATACTTCTTTTCTGCCTAGGTTAGCCAGAATTGGTTAACCAGGAGTTGCTTGAGGGAAACCTCAATTGATACAATAGGCCAATGTGGCTTAACAGCAGAAACAGAACACACACACACACACACACACACACACACACACACACACACACACAGGAGTTTTAGCATCAGTATTAATAACAACTAAACAATACTGAGCACTTCTGCAGGACTGCAACCACTATTCTAAGAACTACATGTGCTTTTCATGCAGCCCTTTACACTTGGATGTCCCCTCTAAGAGGACGCTAAATCTAGCAAATCACTCAGATGTGCCCTCTCAGAGGACATAAAGAAATTGCTGGTGAAACTTATGCCAACATAAATTTCTCAAAAATAGATGTTTCCTTGCAGTTTTCCATTTAAACTGCACAAAAAAGCAAATAAAGAGATGAAATATATACCGAGATATGCGTAAAAAAAATATTAGTTGGCGTTACACAGAAAGAATGTGTAAAGTGCTTTTACTGTGGTGCCGAAACTTCTTTGTAACAGAAGACAGCAATCAAGAGAGTTTGTATAAGAGAGGCGGCTTAGGGTATACCCTTTGGATCACATGGTACAACTTGTAAAGATAGATAAGTGAGTTATTATAGCCTTAAACGAAAGAGACTTTGGAAGCTGAATATTGAAGTATGGAGTGGCACCGAAAGAAAACAATAGTAGCAATAGTGTTATCATCCCAACCAGAAGAAAATGGGCGAATGTAAAAGAAAGTGACAGTGATGAAAGTATTAAGAATTAGAAGACACTGTATCATCAAGTGATGACACAGTATCATCAAGTGATGAATAGAAAGGTATTACAGAAAAAGACAATCCTCCAGAAAGAATAAATTTTGTTGTATGCCCTCAAACAACATGACCACAAATAGCAAGTAATATAGGAGAACTGAACAACTATTTTACTCTGTATTTTACAAATGAATTAGTCAAGAGTGTAATTTTAAAAATCGTTATGCGGGTAAAAAAACAAGGAAAAAACAGCTATCACACAAATTGATTTGGCATCAGTGGCATGACGTTGACCAACAGGAATTTTTAGCTTTTATTGCAGGTACTCTAGTATGGGAATAATTCAAGTACCAGATTTGCAAGTATAATGGTCAAGTGCTTTCAATAGTAATATACTCTTTGCAGAAACGATCAGTAAAGAAAGATTTATACAAATCTTCTGAATGCTTCATTTGAAGATACCTGTGTTGAGTAATGGGGCGATCAGAACTTGTATTCAAAAGACCAACAATTATTTGGAGTATATATCAATTCAAAATTTTTGCATATTTCATACCAGATCAGGCAATCTGTGTTGACAAATATTTTGTTCAATTTAAAGAGTAAATATCATTCAATCCAAATAAGCCTACCAAATGGGGTATATGCATTTATACGCTAGCTAATTAAGAAACGGGGTATTGGGCAATCCTCTTGGTTCCCCTCCTCCTGTGGGAGTTTTTCTGTCCTCTCAATAAATCCTGCTTTCTAGAGAAAAAGCGGGGGGTTTTTTTGTCCATGTCCCTACTATGGGAGCATAACATCTGAAAACATCATTCGACTGATCTTCCATTAAGCACCAGAATTCCATTACACTTATATAAAAAATTGTTGAGAAAAGTTCCCAATGCAGAATACCACGTTTACTGACAGATGTTACACTAGTATTGTCTTAGCAGAAGAGCAAAACTAAAGATGAAATGTCATCTAACTGATACAAAAGAGAATACCAGCACAAATCAAAAAGCCAAAGTGTCTAATGAAAAAACAGTGGTGTATAAGAAAAATAACCTTATGCCTCTTGCATGGAAGGACAAAAGGATCATTAAAATTCTCAGCACTTGGAATCATGCAGGAATGAAAACTGCCATAAGGACATTATGTGGTGAAAATATTCTATCAGTCAAAAAGCCAAAAATCTTTAAATGGTAGAGGAAGTTATTCTTGGGGACTAGAAATATGTGCTATTAACTCCTATATACTGTACTGAGCATAAAAAAAAAATTAAAAGAAAAACTATGTCTCACTTGGAACTTGTCAAGCTTCTGACTGATCAATTGAGAAGCATTTTTCAGGAATCAAGAGTGCATCCTTCCACATCATCTTCAAACAAGAGACTGGATAATAAATTACATATTATTAATGTGGGAGGAAAAGATTGCATTGTCTGCTCGAATAGAAAAACACCAGGTGGAAGACGTCAAACAAATTACTATTGCACAACATGTATCAATGAACCTGCAATGCATGTCAGTGACTATTTAACATGCTACCACATATGGGAAAAATATAAGATATAAAATTTTGATTTGATTTTCCTCAGTGTACAAAATTCTATTATAAGTCAAACATTATTATAATAAAATAATTGGTTTCAACCCTATACTCTTTAATATGAAGTAATTTTTTTTTCACTATTTCATTAAAAAGTATAGTCTAGTTGTTGGTAGGTGATCCATGAGATGTCTCTGACTGCAAAGGGTTAATTTTATTTTTGTAAAGATGGGGTCTTACTATGTCGTGAATGTTGGTCTCGAACTCCTGGTCTCAAGTGATCCTCCAGCCTCAGACTCACAAAGAGTTGGAATTATAGGTGTGAACCACCATGCCTGACCTCCATTTATTTTCTAAACTGCAGTTTTCTTACATGGTAACAAACTATTAGATAGGCCAAAAACAAAGACTAAAAGAAACAGAACACTTATGATACCAAAATTCATAAACACTTGATGTTTATTATTTTTTGATTCAGGGTCTCATTGTTGCCCAGGCTGGAGTGCAGAAGCATGATCATGGCTCACTGAAGCCTTGAACTTTTGGGCTCATGCAATTCTCATGCCTCACCCTCCTGAGTAGCTGGGACTACAGGCATACACAATCATGCCCAGCTAATTTTTTAATTTTTATTTTTATAGAGGCAAGGTCTCACTGTGTTGCCCAGGTTGGTCTTGAAATCCTGAGCTCAAGTGATCTTCCCGTTTTGGCCTCCCTACATGATGGGATTACAGGTGTGAGGCACCGTGTCCAGTCTAAAATCTTGATGTTTAAAGTTGTACTCAGCAAGTTTTTTTAGGGATATCCCTGGGCATAATATTTATTTTTTGAACTCAACCAAATTTACATGACTTCAATTTACTCAGTATGAAATACATATAGCCCTGTGAAAGAAAAGTGGACAATAATCTAAAAAGTGGCATACAAATCTAGATATTATGTAAGATGGAAATTTTTGCTGGATATGAATAACAGTGCCATGTTATATCTCAGAGGTGAAAGTTGAAGATGACTATTAATTATAAGACTCATTCTAGACATGGCAATTCTCAAGACCTGGCAGATAGAAATGACCCCATAAGGGGTGGGGAAATAAGTTAGTACAAAAGTAATTGCGATTTTTGCATTGTTGAAATTTGCCATTTGATATTGGAATATATTCTTAAATAAATGTGTTTATGTTATATAGCATTTAAATGCACATTTCTCACTTTATTCTTTTTGCTAATGACTTATTGTTTGCTCTTTATTTCAGACTATGGAAGTAATGTCAGACAAAAAGTAAATTTGAGTGATTTTCTTATTCAAATGCGAAATGGGTCATAAAGCAGTAGAAACTTGCAACATCAACAATGCATTTGGCCCAGGAACTGCTAATGAATGTACAGTGTAGTGGTGATTCAAGAAGTTTTGCAAAGGAGACGAGAGCCTTGAAGATGAGGAGCTTAGTGGTTGGTCATCAGAAGTTGACAATGACCAACTGAGAGCAAACATCGAAGCTGATCCTCTTACAACTACATGAGAAGTTGTCGAAGAACTCAACGTCGACCATTCTACAGTTCTTGGGTTTTTGAAGCAAATTAGAAAGGTGAAAAAGCTCGATAAATAGGTGCCTCATGAGGTGACTGAAAATTAAAAAATCATCAATTTGAAGTGTCATCTTCTCTTATTCTAAGCAACAATGAAACATTTATAAATCGGATTGTGATGTGCAATGAAAAGTGGATTTTATTTAACCGACAATGAACAGCTCAGTGGTTCAACCAAGACATTCCAAAGCACTTTCCAAAGCCAAACTTGCACCAAAAAAAAGTCATGGTCACTGTTTGCTGGTCTGCTGCTGGTCTGATCCACTACAGCTTTCTGAATCCTGATGAAAACATTACATCTGAGAAATATGCTCAGCAAATTGATGAGATGCTCCAAAAACTGCAACTTCTGTAGTCAGCATAGGCCAACAGAAAGAGTCCAGTTCTTCTCTACAGCAACGCACAACTACACATCATAAAACCAACACTTCAAAAGTTGAATGAATTGGGCTATGAAGTTTTGCCTCATCCGCCATATCCACCTTTCCTCTTCCCAACCAGCTACCACTTCTTCAAGCATCTTGACAACTTTTTGCAGGGAAAATGCTTCCACAACCAGCAGGATGCAGAAAATGCTTTCCAAGAGTTCACTGAATCCCAAAGCTATGGGCATAAATAAACTTATTTCTCACTGGCAAAAATGTGTTGATTGCAATGGTTCCTATTTTGATTTTTTTTTTTTTTTAATTTTAAAGATGTGGGGTACAATTCAGGGTTAGGTATATAAATGTTCATTATGCAGGTTACCCTTGTTGATGAGGTGTGCTCCTCCCTCCTCTAACAGTTTCCCTCAACTGCCAATCCCACCCCCCACTATTGCCAATCCCTTTCTTATAGTATTATGATAACTGTTCAAGAATAAAAATGTGTTTGAGCCTAGTTATAATGATTTAAAATTTACAGCCCAAGTTGGGCTTGGTGGCTCAGCCTGTAATCCCGCGCCTTGGGAGGCTGAGGTGAGTGGATTGCCTGAGCCCGCAGGTTCGAGACCCGCCTGAGCAACTTTGCGAGACCTCATCTCTACAATAAATCAAAAATCAGCCGGGTGTGGGAGCGCACACCTGTAATTCCGGCTACTCGGAAGGCTGAGGCGGAAGGATCTCCAGAGCCCAGCAGGTCGAGGCTGCGGTGCCCAGGAGTGGCCACTGCACTCCAGTCTGGGTGACAGAGTGAGACTCCAACTCAAAAAAAAAAAAATTATAGTCCAAAACAGCAATTACTTGTGTGCGTGCATGCGCGCACACACACCACACACCACACACACACATACACATATGGTATACATATAAACTCGGTGCAGCTTTACAAAGAAATTTTACAATGGAATTATATCATTGGGATACCCGTTTTCCATCATTCTTTAACATTTATCTTTCAAATTTAAGTTAAATAACTCACGCAAAATTGCCAGTAAACTGGAAAATACATTCTCTCTGAAGTCCACATGGGAAATGATAACTTCGTTTACATCTAGGCGAAACACATCCAATTGAAGCACCAGTTTTCTTGCAAATACAGCATTTCTAGAAGAATATAAGAAAATAGGGGCCACAACATACAAAACTTGAGTACTATTATGTGATCAAGGTATAAATGAATATTCCTTGTAAGGAGTCTAAAAATTATTTTTATCATATAAAAGCTGTGAAAATGGCATATTAAAGAAATTTCCTGTAAAACTGTTCTACCTAACAACAATATAAAGACACTAAAGACTTACTCCTATAATGATTTTGATAAAGAAAATATCTCTAATCTAAAATGTGGATGAGACAGAAAAGCCCCTTTCCTTTCCTTCCTACTTGCTAAAATATTTTATTATGTTTATAAACATAATAACTATACATTAAAGTCTATACATGAAACCTTAAGAGAAAGCATATAAATTAGTAAATATCAATAGGAACAACAGGAAAATAGTACTATAAACTAAACTGTAAATGAAAAAGTCTTAGATACCAATAGTGGATTAAATAGTGGTCTCCAAAAAGATATGGTCAAGTCCTAACTCCTAGTACCTATGAATGTGAACTTATTTGGAAGTAGGGTCTTTGCAGACTTATTAAGTTAAGAATCCTGAGATGAGGTCATTCTGGATTTAGGGTGGTCCCTAATCAAATGACTGGTAACTTTATAAGAGAAGGAGAGGGAGATTTAAGACACTGACATTCAAAGAGGAAGGCCTGTGAAGATGGAAACAGAGATTGGCGTTAGGCTGCCACAAACAAAGAAACAAACCAAAGGTTGCCAGTAGCCACCAGAAGTTAGGGGACAGATATGTAATGAATTCTCTATTACCACCTTCAGAAGGAAACAATCCTTTGATATCTTGATTTAGAACTCTGGCATCTGAAATGGTGAGAGAATAAATTTCTGTTTTAAGCAGCCAATTTATAATGGCAGCCCTGGAAAACAAATACAGCACGATTGCCACTAGTTGATCCATAACAGTGATACATAAACAGAAAGACTATTAAATAACTCAATAATTAACAAACTACAGGGTAGTACCTAAAACATCTTGGAACCCTTAAGATAGCCATTATAAATAATGTTCGCTTTCTCAGAGATTACAGAGTTACTGTCAACTCATTTAAGCCCCACCCAGGTCATTGCAGAATACTTGGCCAACCTGAGACTCTCCCAGTAAACTGACGCAAGGAATTCCAGTTTAAATTCACAAATTGAGAGTCCTTTCCAAGGTTCACAATGTACTCAGGGAGAACTCAGATGTTTTAAGAAAACAAGTACCAACTAAGTACACCGAATCCGAAAATCCAAAATACTCCAATGAGCATTTCCTTTGAGCAGCACGTTGGCACTCAAAAAGTTTCAAATTTTGGAGCATTTCAGATTAGGGAGTACTCGACTTACATGGAAATATTGTCAAATATGAAAAAATACAAAATCTAAAGCACTTCTGGCCTCAAGCATTTCAGGTAAGGGATATTTAAACTGTGGTTTCAAACTATAAGAGGACCTCTAGAAACTACTTTTACCACAAGCTTACTATCATCAGGAAGTTGAGGAATTATGATACTAATATCTCCACAGTGCTTAGATTCATGCTAACCTTTCTCCTGAGGTTTTTCCTTGTATGCTAGAGCCTCTTTTACCATCAACTCCCCTGGCTCCTTGACATCTTCAAAAATAACTGAGTCTTTTTTTGCCTCAACTAAAATAAATGTTTCTATATGCTTCCCTTGTAGACCTCCTTGGACAAAACTGTTTATTTTCCCATCTTCCTTAACTTCCAGACTTGGCACAGGGTGGGAGTGGGACAGAAGCAGGAAGGGAGAAATTATTTCAGTTACCTACTGCATATCGTAGGCCACTACTCTATTTTCATACTTTCAAAAATCTGGATCTTTGAACCTAATGACATCTACAACCTTCTGTTACTACTAACTTCCTAGTCATCCCTCCTAAAGACTGTGGTACCTGAATCTTGGAATTCCTTTGTATTTTAACTTTCTATTATTCTATGAAACTTGAACATTTACAAAACTAACTTTCTTTGACGCCAAGATGTTTTAGGTACTGCCCTGTATTTTGCTAATGATTGAGTTATTTAATAGTCTTTCTATTTATGTACCATTGTTATAGATAAGAAATGACTACTTCATTCTACTTCAGTGTAATGATTAATCCCCTCATCCCCCAAACTGCTCCACCATGAAAATCATCAACTCCAGTATCACATTCTCTGAACAAAACTCCATATATGTCCAACCTTCTTATTCTCTAACTCATTATTTCTACTCAGGCCATATAGAGACTTTCCTTGCACATAGTATAGTATCAATCATATAGAAGAGTCACGAATAACTGAATGAGCAAGGGGATCAAAGAAAGCTTAGAATACCTATCTTGGAGAATAGGAAAGGACATTGAATATAACCACACAATATCACAGAAGGGTCACAAGAGTTATGGAGATCATAAATTACCAGTCTGCATAGCTGTGTAATTTCTACCTCAATGCATCATTCCAAACTCAGCAACTGAGGTGTAAGGAAAAAAAAAGTAAATGGTTGGGCTGCCTCAAGCTTGAAAATTTGCAGAACAGTCGAGTGGAGCTATGGCCGTAATTCTGATGAGGGTGAAATGATGGAAAAGATTGGAATAAGATACGGAAGGGAAGTCAATATCGTCACATGCATTTCCTATGGTCAGATAAGCTCTCTTTCATTGGCAAAAATACAAAATGCTTGACTTACCATATTTGACAAAAATATGCATTAGAACACAAAATAAAAGTCATAAATTCCTAGGACAGAAACTGATAGAAAAGACTTCCCAAGTATTAACAATATTCATAGTATTTAGTGTAATAAATAAAATGATATACTTACCAGTTTAGAAGCTCTATTTACTTCCTTCCTGATGTCTTCTATGAGAAAACCATCAACTCCTTCTTCTTCTTTACCTCTCTGCCAAATTCCACTTGACATCAACTATGAATATATTCTCAATTAGAAAATAAATTCTTAAACTTATTTGAAAATTTAAAAACATGTCCATAATATTCATTCCAATAAAAAATAGACATAAAATGAATCAAATACAAGTACCTACCCACAATAGTTATTTTTCATGGTCAAAGTAAAAGACTACTCACATTGTTTTAGAGCACACTATACACTAACAGTTTGTATTAGCCAAACAGGTTTCTAGAAGTATTCTAGAAAGTAAGAGAAAAAAAAAGAATGTAGAAATGAAGGAAGGGAGTAGGTAGATGGATTGAAGGAAGGAAAAAAAAAGCAAGAATATCTACAATTAAGCCCTAGAAAAAAGGAGTGGTAAATAAAGATGGAAGGCAATTCAGATTATCAGTGATATTTCAGGATAACTTTAAATTTTGCTGAATCCTGAGTCATAAAAGGCATATTCACAGGAAAACCTATTGAATCCTAAAATGTTGGTGTTTTTTTCCCTTTTTTCCCCTTAATTCCCAATGTGATAGTAATAAGTATCTGACTTTTTATAAAATCTGATTTAACTTTCATAGTTTAAATACATTAAGGAAGTCTAAATCAAGAAAAAGAATGGAATGTCAATAAGAAATCCTGGCTTGCAAGCCAGGCTCTATGCCTACCTTCTAGAACACTAGACAAGTAATTTGATGCTTCTGACTTTAAACATGAAAATAAGAGCACTGAATCAGATTGTATCTAAGTCTATATCATCTAGCAGTATATTACCATTTGTGACATTATCATACTTTTCTGTTCATGATGAAATAGAACATTAAAAGAGTTGAGTTTGAGGTCAATACTTTTTTTTTGAAGTATTATACTCAGTTGATAAAATCAGACAAAATAAAAAGGAAATTTTGATATGATCCATGTAAACATATTAAATAATTCAAAAATAGTTCATAGAGCAAATTTGTGATTAGAAGTTACTTTAGGCCAGGCGAAGTGGCTCAAGCCTGTACTAGCAGCATTTCGGGAGGCCGAGGTCAGGGGATCGCCTGAGCCCACGCATTCAAGAACAGCCTGGGCAACCTCATCTCTACAATAAATCAAAAAATTAGCCGGGTGTGGTGGTGCACGTCTGTAGTTCTGGCTACTTGGAAGACTCAGGCAGTCATCACTGGGTGGCTGTGAGCATGTCACTGCACCCCAGTCTGGGTAATGGAGTAAGACTCCAATTAAAAAAAAAAAAGTTTCTTTAATCAATATATCCTAAAAACAAAATACATTATTTAAGAATTATTCATGAGGCTGGGAACAATAGTTCAAGCCTGTAATTCCAGCACTTTGGGAGGTCAGGGTGAGAGACTGCCTGAGCTCCGGGGTTCGAGACCAAACTGGGTAACTTGATGAGACCTCATCTCTATAATATATCAAAAATTAGCTAGGCGTGGTAGGGCACGCCTGTAGTTTCCACTACTTGGAAGGATCGCCTGAGCTCAGCAGGTCGACATTGGGGTGGCCGTGAGTATGCCACTGTACTCCAACCTGGAGAGAGACTGACTCAAAACAAAAAAAAGAATTATTCATGAAAAAGTAGCCTTTGGGAGGCTGAGGTGAGTGGATTGCCTGAGCCCGCGGGTTCGAGACCCGCCTGGGCAGCGAGACCTCATCTCTACAATAAATCAAAAAATCAGCCGGGCATGATAGCGCATGCCTGTAATTCCGGCTACTTGGAAGGCTGAGGTGGAAGGATCGCCGGAGTCCAGCACATTGAGGCTGCGGTGGCCAGGAGTGGCCACTGCACTCCAGTCTGGGCGACAGAGTGAGACTCCAACTCAAAAAAAAAAAGAAAAAGTAACCCACTATTTAGAATGCCAACTTCATGTTCTCTTAAGGCATGGTATAAACGTGATTAGGCTCCTAGACTAGTCTACAAGTCTGTTAACAGATACCTAAGGCACGATACTGTAGTTTTAGGGAAGCGAGGAATACTTTAAGTGGTTTCTCAAAGCACTGAAAGAGTTTTAACAGGATGGCAGTGGTTTAAAAATATGTCGACAAATTTGTTATTCCTTCGAGTGATGGAGCTTAATTCCCCTCCCCTTGAGTATGTGCTATTGTGCTAGACTTAATGACTTGTTTCAAATACAATAAAGAAAAAGAGACAGTGGTGTGGGACTGTGATGATTATATGGTTATATGGTTTCATTTTGGTGTCATTCTCTAATCACTTGGTTTAGGGAAGGCCAGAGGTCATGCTGTGAGCAGCCCTACTAAGAGGCCTCAGAGGTGAGGAGTTGAGGCCTCTTGCCAACAGAGAAAAACTGAGATCAAAGCCAATGTGAATAAACCATTTGGAAATGCATCTTCCAGCCCAATAAATCTAATGTAATCTGATTGAAATCTTGTAATCTCTTGAGAGACTGAGTCAGAATTATCCAGTTAGGCCAATACCAGATTCCTGACCCCTAGATATTGTGTGAAATAATAAATGCTTTATCTGCTAAGTTTCAGAATAATTTAAGCAGCAATAGATAACTAATAAAATGTTAAGAAACAATGAGTATACTAATGTAATGTTGGCATGCTAGGTGGTAATGTACCACTAATATCTTAAGGCACAGATTCAGTGAGGTCAGAGGTTGGCAGAGGAAGAGGAAACAAAAAAGGGACTAAGTCTCAGTATGAAATCACTCTTCTGCATTTTTCTGAGTAAGCAAGCCATAAAGAAACCTGCTTCTTTTTCCACAAACATTTATTACCTTCAGCCAGATCTTTTCTCTCCAGGTTTTCTATGAAATAAAATAAAATACTTTTCTTCTACTGCCTGAACTTTCAAAAAAGTATTTCTCAGATTTATCACTAGCAACAAAGGAAACAAGAAAGTAGTAAAAGGAACACCTTCATTAAAGACCCTGCCATTTTCTCCTTTATCCATTTAAGCTCTAAATGGTTAGACAAAAACAGGTAATGATGACAGGTCATTAAATCTTAGAATTTAATACACATGTACAAACTCTCATTTTTACATATAGGCAAAGTGAGACCCAAGGAAGTTAAACGATTTATCCAATCCTCAGAAATCAGTATTAGGCTCTAATTTTCTCCTTTACAACACCAAATATCTAGAATTTAATGACAAATTATACTCACCAAACAATAGTAATGTACAGTGAGATTCCATTTCTCATTAGTCTTCTTTTCTCCGTATTTATTAGGACAGTCATCATTTTTCCGACAGAAAACACAAGCTAAGGGTAAAAAAAAAGGAAATAGATATAAAATATTTTTTTTTAATTTCAAAGAACAATCTATGGAATTAGTCCTTCTCTCAATTTGTGTTAAATTCTTTCTGAGAGAGCAAATCACATTATATTGCTATTAGTAACTTAACATTTACAGTACCTACTTCTAAAACATTAATGTGATTTTACATTTCTCATGAGTCTTTAATGATGAATTTCAGTGTGTAGTTAAAATAGCAACTTGTGGGGTAGTTTCCAATTAGGGAAGTACAAAACTCCATCCTTCCACTAAAGCAATGATTAAACTGCCAAAAGCCACCAGAATCAACTTTTTTGAAGCTCTGTAATTTAATTTTTAAAAACTGACAAAAATTAGGAGAATGCTTAATAAAGAAACAAGCTGCTCAGTTTTGATAAGAGCATTTTAACTTATCCACCTACATTCCCCACTGCCCAGCTGCGTAGTGGCCTTGGAGCAGCCCATGTTCCTGGTACAGATTACTGGCTCAAGAGGAGTCTTGTTCGCAAAACATTGCATGTTGTGACCTGTGTGGTGCTCTCCTTAAGGGATGGGCTTAGATGCTGACCTTTATTTTTGCCTCAAAACTTTCTCAGCCTCCACTGCTTGTCAGAAAGGATTTAAAATAAATTTACTAGCTGCAGCGGTCTAGGGAAAGGGATAACAGGGCAAGGAGCTGACAGACAAAAAGTTTAAGAAAGAAGAGACTGGGGAAAAGAGGAATTATAAGGGAATAAGAGTTTGGAAAAGCTCCTGCATATACCGAAGAATTTAAAAAGCCATGTGCATGCCTAGACATTTACACATGTTTCAAAAAGACCTGAGAAACCTCTGGTTAATCTTTAGGGTCATGCAAGTCTACATTAAAAAAGAAAAATCCCAAGTCAATAGCCTAGTTTTATACCTTAAAGAACTAAAAAAAAAAGAAAACGAAAACCAAAGCTAAGAGAAGAAATGAAAAAAATAAATATCAGATATAACCAAAATAGAGAATAGAAAAAATCAATAAAAACAAAAATTGGTACTTTGAAAAGATCAACAAAACTGGACAACACTGAGCCAAAGGAAAAAAAAAAGATGATTAAAATCTCACAGTAGCCGGGTTCGGTGGCTCAGCCTGTAATCCTGCACCTTTGGGAGGCTGAGGTGAGTGGATTGCCTGATCCCGCGGGTTCGAGACCCGCCTGGGCAGCGAGGCCTCATCTCTACAATAAATCAAAAATCAGCTGGGCATGGTAGCGCGCGCCTGTAATTCCGGCTACTCGGAAGGCTGAGGCGGAAGGATCGCTGGAGCCCAGCGGGTCGAGGCTGCGGTGGCCGTGAGCGGCCACTGCACTCCAGTCTGGGTGACAGAGTAAGACTCCAACTCAAAAAAAAAAAAATCTCACAGTAAAACTACAGCAAGCTAGTGTGGCACTAGACATCTATCAATGGAAAAGAAGAAAGAGTCCAGAAATAAATATATACAACAATGATCAGGTGCCAAGACCATTCCATGGGAGAAAGAAGAGCCTTCAACAAATGGTGCAGGCACAACTGGATAGCCACATGCAAAAGAATGTAGGTGAACCCCTGCCTTCCACCACATACAAAAATTCATTCAAAACCAAAGACCTAAATGTAGGAGTCAAAATGATAAAATTATTAGGGGAAAAAAGGGTGTAATTCTGCATGACTTTGGATCTAGCAGTGGTTTCTTAGAATTCACATAACACCAAAAGCACAAGTAACAAAAGAAAAAATAAACCGAACTTTCATCAAAATTTAAAATGTCTTTTTTTGTTTTTAGAAACAAAGTCTTGCTCTGTCAAAAATTTGGTGTCTTAAAGGACACTATTAAGAGAGTGAAATGACACTCTATAGAACAGGAGAAAACATTTGGAAGCTACACATTTAATACGGGTCCAGTATCTAGAATGTTTAAGAAACTCTTATAACTCAACAATAAAATCATAAACGATCCAATTTTAAAATGGGCAAAGGATCTGAACAGACAGTTCTCCAGAAATATACAAATAGTCCCCTAGCACATTAAACAATGCTTACTAACATGACTAGTCATCAGTCAACAGAGAAATGCAAAGCAAAACCACAACTTTTATCACGTCACACCCATGAGAACAGCTATAATCAAAATATCAAAGAATAAGTGTTGGCAAACAGCTGGAGAAACTAAAATTTCCATTAGCTGCTGGTGGAAATAAAAACAATGTAGCACTTTGGAAAGTAGTCCAGCAGTTCTTGAAAAGTTAAACACAGACAGAGTTACCATAAGACCGACAGTGATTTCATACTTGAGTATACATACCAAAGAACTGAAAACAGATGCTCAAACAAAACTTATTTACTAATATTCATAGCTGCACTGATCACATTAACCAAAGTGGAAACAAACCAAATGTACATCAACAAATGGATCTATAAAATATGGTATTATCCATACAGTGGAATATTATTCAGCAATAAAAAGGAAGAAAGTACTAATACATGCCACAACATGGATAAGCCTAGAAACAGCATGCTAAGTGACAGATCTTAAGCACAAAAGGTCACATATGATTTTGTTTACGTATAGATTACATTACCCAGATTAGATAAATCCACAGAAAGACAAAAAGGGTATTAGTAGTTGCCAGAGGCTGGGAACAGGGAAATGAGGAGTGACTACCTAACAGGTACAGTCTTCTTTGAGAGTGATAAACATGCTTTGGAACTAGATAGTGGTGATGGTTTCACAACACTGTAAATGTATTAAATACTACAACCTTGTACACTTTAAAATAGTTAAAATGGTAAATTTTTGTTATGTAGATTTTATCATACACACAAAGACAACTTGTAAAATCAGGGAGATCTGAGGTAAGATTCAGCTCCACACATTTTTAAAAATTGTGTACATTTAAAATGTACAGATGTTTTGAAATATGTATACAATGTGGAATAGCTAAGTGGAGCTAATTATCTTAGGCAGCCGGGCACGGTGGCTCAAGCCTGTAATCTCAGCACTTTGGGAGGCAGAGGTAAGAGGATCTCTTTCTTGAGTCCTAGGGGTTTGAGACCAGCCTGGGTAATTTGGCGAGGCCTCATCTCTACAATAAATTAGAAATTAGCTGGGCATGGTGGCACACGCCTGTCATTCCAGCTACTTGGAAGGCTGAGGCAGAAGGATCACTTGAGCCTAGCAGGTCAAAGCTGCGGTGGCACTGCACTCCAGCCTGGGTGACAGAGTGAGATTCCTACTCAAAACAAACAAAAAAACCAAACAAACAAAATAAGAGTTATTATCTTATGCAATAATTTACATACTTATCATGTATTTGTGGTAAGAACACTTAAAAACTACTCTCTTACCAATTTTCAAATATACAATACAATGTTATTAATTACGGTCACTGTGCTGTACAATAGCTCTCTTTTTTTTTTTTTTTTGAGTTGGAGTCTCACTCTGTTGACCAGACAGGAGTGCAGTGCCACTCCTGGCCACCGCAGCCTTGACCTGCTGGGCTCCGGTGATCCTTCCACCTCAGCCTTCCAAGTAACCGGAATTACAGGCATGCGCTACCACACCCCGCTGATCTTTTGATTTATTGTAGAGATGAGGTCTCGCTGCCCAGGCGGGTCTCGAACCCGCGGGCTCAGGCAATCCACTCACCTCAGCCTCCCAAAGGCGCGGGATTATAGGCTGAGCCACCGAGCCCAGCTACAATAGCTCTCTTAAACTTAATCTTTCTGTCTTACTGAAATTTTATATCCTTTGATCAATATTTCCTAATCATCCCAGTCTCTGGTAACCACCGTTACAGTCTCTGTTTCTGAGAGTTTGACTTTTTTTGGATTCCGCACAGAAGTGAGATAATATGATATCATCTTTCTGTGTCTAGTTTATTTCACTAGTGCTTTATGACTTCATTTACTCATCATAAAAATGAGGACAACAGGCTGGGCGTAGTGGCTCACACCTGTAATAATCCCAGCACTTTGGGAGGCTGAGGTGGGAGGGTTATTTGAGGCCAGGAGTTCAAAAATAGCCTGGGCATCACAGCAAGACTCTGTCTCTGCAAAAAATATAAAAATTAGCTTGCTATTTAGAAGGCTGAGGAAAGAGGATCACTTGAGCCCAGGATTTCAAGGTTGCAGTGAACCATAATCATGTCACTGCACTTACACAGAGTAAGATCTTGCTTCTATTTAAAAAAAAAAAGAGTTCAACAATACTATTTACCTCAAACTTTGCCTTAATGAGGACTAAATAAGACAGTATATATTAAAATAATTAACAGGATATGACACATAGAACTGGATAAATGTTAGTGATTATAATTACTAATCTTTTTCATGTGTTTATTTGTTCAGAAAATTTTTATTATTATACAAATGAAACAAGTAGAAAATCACTAGCTCAAGAGAAAAGACCCTAAGGATCTCAAGGCAGCAGATCCAAACAAGATGGAGGGAGCCTGAATTTCTAAATGACTCCATGAAGTAATAACTCCCTATCTGCCCAATCTTCCTTAACTCATCCACACTGGACTGTAACCTAACCAAGTGATAAACTTATTATGTTACGCCATTAAGACTTCTAAGTTTACTTCAGAGCAGCTAGCATCATTTACCTTAACTAATACATGTAATCAAGAATGGATGTTACATGTTGAAATTTACTATATTTGTTAACAGGCAGCTTGCAAAATAGATTTCAGAACTAAAAAGAAACTGCATGAGCTAATATTTAATATTGTGAGATATCCTAACTATATTGCCCTCCCTTACACCAGTTTAACAAGTCATAAGTCAAAGACCCTCTCCTAATCCTTTAAAAGATTTCTGCTCCTCTGCCTTCCCTAATCAAGGGAGGTGTCCACATTAACTGCAGCAAATTGCCACTTGTTCATATTGGACATCTTTCACCAGTTGCTCTCCCACCTTAACTCCATCTCTAGTGCCTACATGGTTAGCCATAAGTGTACATACAGCTACCAAGAGAAAG